ATCCAATGTATGTATGCATATTAGCCATTTTAAATTTCTGTTTAAAGGTTGGAACAAATTTCATTCTGTATTTGGAGGAGGAGGAGGAGCAACAAAGGCGATACCCTCATGTCCTGCAGTTTTGGGATACAATCCATCCTTCATCATTGTGGGAGAAATGGCACTGAAGCAAGATCCTCTTTTTACAAGCAGTTGATACATGGTTTAGATTATTTTACATTTTGAGCATTGCATATCCCAAGCCTGTTTCAGCTGTAATTACATTGTCTGTACTAGCTTTGTTCTGTTTGTTTGTCAATTTATATTTATCTTGTAAACTAAAACAATTGCAAGCAACCTAATGTGATAAGGAAGTGATTAATAAGACAATTTCAACCAGTTATTTAATTTAATAGAGGTTTTTGCAACTTTAAATGTAATAGAAATAAAGTGTTTTCAAAATATTTGTATGCTGTGTATTATTATTGATTTACATAGCAATACTACTACTACTACTAATAATAATAATAATAATAATACCAGGATGGTTAAAGCAAAACATTTTTTGTCCAAATAACCCAACAAATAAGTTATTTCTTAACCCAATGCATTGGGTTACTAATTTACTACCCATTCCATTGGGTTAAAATAACCCAACATTAAGTAGGTGCTATAGTAACCCACCATTGGGTTATCTGTTGGGTCATTTTAACCCAACTATTTTAAGTGAGTATGATCCTTCAGAAATCATTTTGATATGCTGATTTGGCACTCAAGAAACAGCTGTGCTGTGTAATATTTTTGCTGAAAACTGTGTTCCATTTTTTTCTGAATTTGATTCATAGACATTTCTAAAGAACATTTATTTGAATTTTATTAATTTATGTAAAACATTATAAATGTATTTACCCTCATTCATTTAATGCATCATTGCTGATTCAATGTATTGTTTTCTTTTAAAAAGAAAATTCAAGTCTTCTTACCGTAGTAGAGTACATGCAGCCAAGCTGCTCCAACCCTCACATTAAAATGTAGCTTCAATATACACTAATGCAATCAATAAAATCTTTATTGCACATTATTTTGTTTTCTACAGCTTAAAATATAAAATAAATGCTTTTAAACTGAACACACTAAATTTTGATCTAAATATATTTAAAGGCAAATTTCAGCATAGATTAATCGTGTTTCAAAAATAGTGTTATATTTCAGTACTGCTGTGTTGTTGTTCTTCACTTTCACATGGCATTACCATTGTATGGTTACCTGTAAAGGCCAAACATATTTGGCATTATGCAAAAGTGGAAATCGAGTTGCTTTTAGAATTCATGTTTTATGCAAACCATATTCAGGCCACTTCAGTTTATTTTAAGGGGGTTTGTTTCACTTTAAAGTGAGCTTTCACATTTTGTCAAAATTCATGCAAACCACTCTCAGACCCCTGAAATGTAACATATTAAGTGCAGGTCTATAGGAAATGCACAGTATCACTTTCTTTTACTTACCGTGTCCACTGTCCAGGTAGTCAGTGATAATGGCAGCACTGCATGGTGACCAGGGACTGGTGCGGTTGATCCGGATCAGAGTGGGAGACATCATGTGATTGTCCTGCAGCTTGCCAAACACTTCCTCACATGCCTTAACATTATCGTGTGGCATATTGAAGACATGTCCTGTAGCGGTGAAGGAAAGGAGAAAGGAGTGAGAACACAAGTTATTTAAAAAAAAGAAAATTTTAAATGCAATGTGTGTCAGCACTTTACACTGATGTAAATGAACCATCTCTAGAAATTATCAAAATGTAAATTTAGATTTTTGCCTTTTAAATCCCCAATCATTACAATACAATTTTCCTGTCAGCAGTTGGACCACAGCTATGCTGAGTCATTTCTACAATACCTCCAACATCTCCCCACATTTCCTCCCTGGCCTTGAGAGGAAACTTTTGCAAACCCGCCTGAGGTTTCCTACAGGGAAACAAGCCACTTCAATAGAGCTTATCTTTCTTCAGCTGCTCCACTGAGCTAATCCAACTCAATGAACATTATCTCTGGGACAATGTTGTGGAGATCCTCCAAAAGATTTTGGATGCTGCAATTACTGGTTCTAGACCCAGATATTGAGTAGGGTTGGCAAGCATTCAGTTAGGAGATTTCAGCACCGCCAAATATAATAAATGACGATGCAATGGGCTTGTTATTGGAGCATCATGCTTGTACTGAGATTGATAATATGAATGCAAGTTTAGGAGAAACTGTGGTTAGTGTTAGTCAGTGATATTCAGTGTGCAATGTACTAAATGAGTATTTTAAAGAGGTCATGAACTGAGAAACCAAAATTCTCTTGATCTTTTGACATATAAGAGGTCATTGCACTATGAAAACATCCTGTAGGTTTCAGAACTCAAAACTATCTCGTTAGTCTAAAAACAGTTTATAATGAAACCAGTCTGTCAAAATCACAAGTTGAGGAATGTGCCACTCTATGATGTAATAGTGTGGATAAGCACCGCCTCTGCAGAAGAAGATCAACGCCTGCTTCTACATAACTGCCTGTTTAGTCCCGCCCACCGATTCACACATGTAGTGTAAATAATGAGAGAGGCAAACGTGGGTCTATGCAGAAATCAAACGCTAATGATTGCTCCGAAGACAAGCTGTGCAGCGCCAAGTTGTGGAAACAGTTTTTGCTTTGCCCTCCTTCTGATACCAACATTAGGAAAGAGTAGATTAACCAGACCACATCATTAAGAACTTGTTGATCATTTGTTCACTTCATTTTACTTTGCTGCCGTACCGTGGGTGCAGCAGGCGCAATGATATTACGCAGCGCCTGAAAATAGGCTAACTTCCGCCAACATAACCTACGTGACCACCTGCTTGCACAGGGAGCGTGCCTTCCGTTGGAAGTTACATAGCTGGGGACTATTTTCAGGTTGTTAGTACAAATGACATTTTATCATATTTAACCCATAAAAAGGTAAGTGTAATTTAAATTTTTCTGAAACGAAATTATTTAGATGAAATTTACAGCTGAATATTTAGCTAATATTTAAATTGGTGATTAAAACCAAACAATGGTGTTTGGTTTTTTAATCACTGGCACATTAATCCTGGTGTAAAGTTATATATTATTAATGATAATACTAATAATAATTAAAAGGGCATCACAGATATGCCAGTAAAATTAACTGAAGAATCATACTAGCATTGCATGAGAAACAGTGAGTGAAAAATAGGAAATAGGTAGCTAGAAGAATGTGCTTTTAATTGACATGGAAATATTTCACATGCCCAAATTAGCTATAACTTCTATTGGTATAAAATGCAGTATCTCAGTCCAAATTAATTTCCGACTGACCTATATTGTGTTACCACAGTTTAAAATGGATTGGCTCAAAACATCTGTTGAGCCTTAGTGAATCAACATCATAATAGCAGGTTTGCTGGTTAGCCTTATCCCATGGTGCAACACCCTATACCAATTCCAAAAACAGGACTAACATTGATGTGCTCGTAACCTTAGCATTAAAAGTAGAGTTTCTCTGGCCACAACACACTTAAAGGGAACAGAAGCTTCACCACATTTAGGAGAGACAGTTAAAAATCCTGTTATTTAACAGTAAAACTCATTTAACACACAAAAACACATTTTGCTCTCAGAAGCCCAAAGGCTCTGACATCTTTGACCACATAAATCATGATGTCTAGGATGAAGCTCCAAGTCAGTGTGACATGTTACTCATACATATCCATCAAAAATATTTTTTAGTAAACATCCATGCCTACAAGGACACAGTGTTTCATCTGGCCTTCTTATATTTTACATCTCTTTCTCTTTTTTTTTTTTATTTGACCTAGTTCTCACATTCTCTCTGCATTTCTTGATGTATGTGAATCCAGCTGCTAACTCCCAAGAATCATCATGGGGCTAATCATAAAGCCTCCCTAGTCTTTTTAGACCTTCTGATGATGGATGCCTTGACATTCACTACGTCCAAGTACTTTCCAGTAGTCAGGCATCTGCCATAAACATATTAGTTGGGAGTGTATTCTTAAGACATAATTTTGTGCGTATAACAATTGCAATAATATTTTTTGCCAAGACAAAATAAATGGTTAATGAAACAAACACAAGTCTGTAAAAAAGTCATCCACCAGTAAATTCAGTTTAGTTTAGTTAGACAAAATGTGACTCACTCTGAGACTTGACTCTACACTCGCAGGATGAAAATACAGCAATGTTGCCAAATTTTCGAAATGTAGGCTTTTATTAAATGAAGGCAACATGATCTCTTGCCACAAATGCATGCAACAGGAAAGGTGTGAGCTCTCTTTCTAAATAACTATAGTCACCACTGCCTTAACACCAGCTGCTTAATGCACAAGGGTTTTTAACTTTACATTAGTGCTCATTACAAACATACACAAACAAATCTGAAAGCAGACGGTTTGCTGATTGGAGAACATGAACAATTGTGGTTGTTCATAGCTATGGTGTTTAGGTTGTTACTTTGGTCATATGTAGTCCAGAAATGTCTAGACTACTATACAGAAACTATTACAAACATTCATGGACAATTTCATGAAAAGTTCCTTTTTGGCCCAAACTCAGCGTCTTATTCATATATTACCAGCAGTTCAGCTGTGAGAATAATACTTTAATTTATTCTTAGAATTTGGAGGTTTTCTAAACTCGAATGAAAAGGACAATGAAATAGCATGATTTTGTTCACAAGTTTTGTTTAGTGGGATTATATAAAACATTTGATTAGATAAGAAACACTGTAGACCCGGACCCTGTCCTGACAAACGTTTACTTGTGTGACCGGGATTTGAAATGTGATACATTGTTGGATGGAGTATGAAGAAAAAACTTGCGATGCGATTGATGTGTTTTTTTTCTATGTAATATTTATCAGCACCTATTTATGTTATCTGATCAATTTATTACTCCATTTGTATCCAGTGAATTCATTTTACATTTTTCAAACTTACTCACCCCCCTCCCCCAGAGTTCAGACTCCCAAGTGCCTGATGACATGCTTGGGTAATAAAATATGGTATGGGTCTTTTGGATTCTAGACATCTGCCTGTGCCAGGTGGAGGAAACAGAATCAGACCATTGCAGGTTCTGGTTTAGCTAATGGTCCTGTGCGCTGATAATGTTAGATAAGCAATGAGAGCAGACTTCCAAGTCATTTCAGTTAACTTATCTATCCATTGTTTTTTATCCAATCTCCATGTTTGGCAAGACATCTCTTTATCCTCTGCAAAACAGGGGGGGAAACTTGCCCATACGCTCCACAAGCAGCACTGACCCAATTGGCATCCAGCATTGCAAACATACGACATTCATTATGCCTTTATAAAATCCAAACTGTTCCATATGTGCATTTCTCTCTTTTTCCCTCTCTCACTAACTCTTGCCTTCCTTCGCACTTTCTATCTATATCGTTGTTGTACTTTCTCTGATAAACTATCTAACACTACCCCTGTGGGGCAGTAGTGGTTACATGGTTAGCCACCCGGGTAGATGTACACTTCCAGCAGAGTGTCTGTGCAAACAAGCACATAATTAAATACAGGCCGCATAGCAATTTACATTGTAGTTTTTCAGTATTAACAAAATTAGATGTTTCTTCTAATGATTGCAACAATATTTGAGGCATTAAGTTTTTGCAATCTTGTTATTTTATGCTGTTCCAACAAGCGCAATGAAAAAGTTTATTTCGAATCGTACCATGTGACAAACTTCAGAACCACATGAACTGCAAAAAACAAGCTCACTTGGCAGTCAACAAGCCCCGAGCTAGTGATCATTTTCAAACCAAATATGTTGTTATATAAAAATAGGAGATGGGCCTACAGTATGTAGCCCAAGGCTGTTGGTTACTTTTAGTTTGCCAGCAAAGGAAAATATTCAGAAGGCAAATTGTGCAAATGTGATTTGATGCAGGGAACTTTAGTTGGAACTAGCAGTGATATACAGTATTTTGCAAATAAATGCTATAGACTCGTTGTTGTGTCTGAGATAGGTAGATGTGGTTGGCGTTCCTATATTTTTATTTTACATTGTAGTTTTTCAGTATTAACAAAATTAGATGTTTCTTCTAATGATTGCAACAATATTTGAGGCATTAAGTTTTTGCAATCTTGTTATTTTATGCTGTTCCAACAAGCGCAATGAAAAAGTTTATTTCGAATCGTACCATGTGACAAACTTCAGAACCACATGAACTGCAAAAAACAAGCTCACTTGGCAGTCAACAAGCCCCGAGCTAGTGATCATTTTCAAACCAAATATGTTGTTATATAAAAATAGGAGATGGGCCTACAGTATGTAGCCCAAGGCTGTTGGTTACTTTTAGTTTGCCAGCAAAGGAAAATATTCAGAAGGCAAATTGTGCAAATGTGATTTGATGCAGGGAACTTTAGTTGGAACTAGCAGTGATATTCAGTATTTTGCAAATAAATGCTATAGACTCGTTGTTGTGTCTGAGATAGGTAGATGTGGTTGGCGTTCCTATATTTTTATTTAAAAAAAAGTGAAGTGCCGTAAATGCTTGACTCTTAAACGATAACTCTTAAAGGCTTTCAACTCAAATCCTTCATTATTAATTAGTGCCTGAGATAGAGAACAAATGCCTTTGATAATGGCTGTATTTA